TTTTATCTGATGCAACTTATATTTGTTCTTGTCTGGGGCTTGTAAACCATGGTATAGTTTGTCGCCATTTCTTTCAAGTGATGTTATGCAGCAATGCTGCTATGTTTCATATTACATATATTCACAAAAGATGGTATAAAGATGTTTATACTGATTTGTCGAAAGAACCTTATAATGTTGCTACAAAATTTAGCAAAGATAATTTACAACCTGTAAGATTTGTAAGGGATAGTACAAATATATTGTTTACGCCTTTATCAAATTTACGTGAAGAAAGAAGCAATGAAATTGATGAATGAAAATTGTATGGAGAATTGTGGTGAGTTGCTCGTAATATTACACAGAAGGCTGTTCAATTTCACAGATGGGATGTTCTTAAAAAGCTACAAAATATATTGGTAGATATACAAAAGGATGAACTATTAGATAGTAATAGTAGTGATGAGAATAATGATAGTGACAAAGAGAACAATAAATTAGGTAGTGCATTTCTTCAAAATCCCAAAAAACGAAAAGCAAAAGGGCATCCAAAAAGTTCCAAAAGGATTAAACGATCAGAAGAATTAAATCAAACTAAACAGCAAAATCAGTGTGGCAATTGTGGTGAGTATGGGCATTATAGACCTAAATGTCCTAAGAAATGATTGTGGATAAATAGCATAATGAAGGTGTTATTTAGTTTAATCTTGGTAGTTATTATGCACAAGTTAAATGAATTTATTGGTTAAGTATTTGTATGAATTTCACGGTTATTATACAAATTAATTTATGTTTATTAGGTCTATAGTTTTTTGCTAATCTAACATTTTAAGGCTGTAAAAATTTAAACTAAAAATATCATGTATAGTGTAAATTATTGTAAGTATATATTTTTTTAAGAATTGATTAGTCTTAATATAAATTTTTTGATAGTTATTTTCTTAACAAATCATTTAATTGATATTACATAGTGTGAAAATTTACTAAGATATAACTGTAACTAATAAATTGCTAAACTACTGCATTATGTAATACAAATTAGATAGTTTGTTAAGGAAATAACTATCAGAGGTCTGTTAGAGAAATAACTATCGGTAAGTTGAGCAATATAGAAACTAAATATATATTCGATCAATTTTAAGGTTAGTTAATTAAAGTAAATAGTCAATTTTATAGTTTTTGAGATTATAAACAAATTTTATTTTTACATTACTAATACGAATTTTTATTTCTACTTTGAATAAAGTAGTAGAAAAAATTTGCAATTAGATGATTTCGACCTAATTATAATCATATTAATATTACATTCTGGCGAATTTGCTTGCTATTATCTTTTTATCTTTTTCGAATACAACAAAGTTTATATTAATGTTAAGATGACTAGTAAAATTAGCAAAAGTTATTAGAATGAATTAAAATAGAAATATGTTAAAAGATGATCATAAAGATTCTATTCATATATAATTTATCGATCTTAGATCTTTAATATTTTTTTATGTGTAGTATAACGATAATAGTGTATAATAGTTATATACTGAGTATCATGAGTATAATCAAAAATTTTATTTCATTTTGCTTATATATAGAGCCCGGTATATAACTAATTTATGCGTTGTGATCTTGATATAGTAAGCAAAATATAATATTAATCATTTTTATTGTAGTAAATTCTTAATATTTAATAAAAGTTTTAATATAATAAAGCAGTTTAAATTTAGTTTATATTAAATATTTCTAATAGAACTGATTATTTTATATAAATTGTATATAGGTTTTTTAGCCAATCAGAATTAAGTATTAGGGGTGCACAAATATGCAGGTGCATAAAATTATATAACCCATTATTTAAATCGTAATATCAGTCTATATCTTTAGAGATTAGATATATTTGCAAAATTTTCTATTTTAGTAGAACTTTGCCTAATTGGATACAGCTTTCTGCAAATAGCAGAAAATCTTTTGCACATAAGTACTTGTTGCTTTAATTAAAGTGTAAGTAATTTCTAAGACCCCTAGGTAGTGTTCCAAATCATTAGTTAAAAAATCAACTAGTTGCTAACTTTCCAACTAGTTGATTTGAAAAATTTTAAACAACTAATCAATTAAGAAATTCCGTCTAGTCAGGCAAATCTGAATTAATTTCTTTGGTTTGATCAGCTAATCATCTGATGATGCTACGTGATATAAATAATTGATTAGTTGCAACTATAGTTGGCAACTAATTGATTGGTAAAATATTTACCAACTCAAAACACTACCCTGGAGCTGTATTTTTCTTCATATCTCTTAGTATGTTATGCTATTCTTCTTCTGAAATATTCTGATCCAAATTATTATATCACTCCTTTTGTATTTCTTCTTTTGGTCTATAAATAACCTTTCAGTTCTTTTTCTAAAGATTCTGATCAAAGTAACATGGTCTGAACTGTTTTTGAAAGTGTTCTTATGTTTTGTTTAAAACCTCTCTTGGATCTATAACAAGTTCTCTTTGGTTTTTCTTTTCTTCTAAAAGCCTGTTAATTTGGATTTTCTTAAACAGCTTCTCCAATAAGCTCGCAAGCATTTTGTTTAGCTTTCCATTTATTATCTAGTATTTTCTCTTAATATTTTCTTCTCGATCTTTCCTGTTTTTCTTATATATAATATTTTCAACCAGCCTTTCAAATCTTCAACTAGTTTATAGGACCAACAGTTGAAGGATGTATTAATACTTGTCTTGTGTTACTGGTTTGTATACTCTAATTCTACAATTAAGTCATCAATATAGTTATAAATAAGACCTAATTTGATACTTTTTCTTTCTATACTTATCCATCTTCCTAGTTGCATTATAGTATATGATAATCTTAACTCTTTTGTCTTTCTTCTTCTGTTTTGTGCTGTATTGCAAATCTTCTTCTTTGGTAGATTACACTTTGCTACAGCAAGAATATTACTAATTATGTCTTCCCAGAGCTCATCTAGCTCTGCTACTCTTCTTTTATAGTGATTTTCTTTCTTTAAAAGGTTCTGTATATTTATACTTTTATTAAGCAGACTGTCCATTTGACTTTTGTAATCTTCCTAGTTTTCTTTTGTTGCTTTTTTACAGAGAAAAACTGTTCTTGTATATCCTTTTTTCCTATATTCTGCTGCACTTTGACTTGCAATTAGGTGATATAAGTCTATTATGATTATCACTACTATGTGGTCACTATTTGTATAAATGTCCATTTCTTGTATTTCTGTGTCAAATAATCTATAAGAAAGTTCATTTGCATCCAGATCTGATCGATCCTTGTACTTGCCTTACTATTTGACTATGTGAATTTTTTGGCTCTTAGATATATAGTTTTAAAAGTATCTTGAAACTCTTGTTTCTGCAGCTAATTTAAAAGAGTATCTTTCTTTAGATTTTTCTTCTCAATGTTTTGTGTTATATTCATCTCTGGATCGACTATACTGTTAAAATCTTCCATAATTATCAATTGTGTTCTAAGAGATCTAATAATAAATTTCTCAATAATTGTTTTATGAACCTTTTTCTTTTCTTGTTCATTATTTGGTGATATATAGAGCATTAATACTATAATCTCTAGTTGCTTAAATATTAAACTTATAGAGATTACGTATTCACTTATTCTGTCTACTTTTCCTATATACTTTTTTCATTATTCATTTACTAATATACCAACTTCAAAGCCTTTCTTCTTGTTACAATCTGAGTTTGTTCAAAACCACTGTATTTAGATTAAGTTCTCGAAAGCTATTCTTCTTCAATTTTTTGAAATATTTGTTTTTGCAATACCTAGAATATCTATTTTGTTGTCTGATATCCACTTGAAAACAAATTCTAGTTTGTGAGCATTGCTTTTAATACTATTAATGTTATGTGTTGTGATGTTAAGTTCTTTTGTTTGATTAATATTCTCTTTGGTTGTAATATATGCAACATTTCTATTTTTCTCTGCTACCTGTGCTGTTTAACAAGTAAAAGATAATATTCTCTTGTTGTATATTTTCTTGCAGATCTGTTTGCAGAAAAGGCTTAGATTTTTTGTTGTTTTTCTTTATTGCAGTTTTCAAAATAGTTGACACTAAAATATTTTGTATACTCACTGTATACTGATATAAAATCATCTAATTCTAAAAAATATTTTTGTATACTTTAAATATATTAGTTATATTTAAAGTATACAAAAGAATTTTTTAGAGTTAGATAATTCTATATCAGTATACAGTGAGTATACAGAATATTTTAGTGTCAACCATTTTAAAAACTGCGATAATTCAACCAGTGCTTCTAAATTTAGAAGTGCTAAGCAGCCAAAGGCTGCTTACTAAGTTTTTTTAGATGTCATATAATTTCTTGCAACATTGTATGATGTTTGTCAATTCTTGCTGCTAGACTTTTTTCTTCTGAGGAATATTTGTAGCTTGAGCTTCTCGATTCTCTTCTTTTGTTAGAGATTTTTCTTTTACTTCTCCAACTTCTTTCGTCTTCTCAACTACTATCCTTTCTATTTGGTGTTTGTTTCTTTCTATTTAGTAAGAGTAATCTTCTGCTATATCTTCTTTTTCTTGATAATATTTTCTTCTTATTATCAGATGCTTGTTTTTTTCCTCTTGGGCTATTGATATATTTTTTTCCTTTTCTGAGCTACTCTTCTCCTCTGTATTTCTTTCTTGTCTACTTTGTACTCAATAGAGTTGCAAATTATTATATCTTACTGACTTATTCTGCGCTTCTCTTATTTCTTTCTTTAAAGCAAAAGTTACTTTTGCTATTTGCTTTATAAATCTGCTTCTCCTTTTAGAGATATAAACTACTTTAGCTTTTCTGTCTTTTAGATGTCTAAAGAGGAGAGTTTCTGAGAGGCCTTCTGTAATTCCAATTAGGTTTGTTACAAATTTGTGTCTTTAATCCCTTTCTTTGTGATCTTTTTTCCCTTTTGATGCTCTAGCCAATCTTCCATTACCTATTGAAAAGGCTCAGAGTATATCTTTAGCTTCAATCTTTGTAGTAAATTCTATTACTGAGAGCGCTTTGCCATTTCTTCACTTAATATATATATCTTCTATCTCTGTCATTTGATTCTTTTTTCCATAAAGATTTTCATTATTATTGAGGACGTTGTTATATTAGTAGATTTTATTAGCATAGTTTAGAAGATTTTATTAGTATATTTTATTAGTATAATTTATATTTATTATATATTTATTTTTAGCTTTAGTTTAATAGTAAAATTTTCGACAAATAGTATTAATTTTAGTATAATATTAGGTATGTTAACTGGTATATTAACAGGTACGTTAACTAGTATGCTAACTGGTACATTAACAGATACATTAACTGATACATTAACAGGTACGTTAACTGGTTGTTAAATAGGTCATTAACTAGGTTGTTAAAAGGGTTGTTAACTGGGTTGTTAAAAGGATCATTAACTGAGTTGTTAACTGGGTCATTAACTGGGTCGTTAACTAGATCGTTAACTAGATCGTTTACTAATAGTCCAAAAAATATAAAAACCTTGCCTTTTTCCCCAAGGCAGAGCAGATTGTCTCCTCTCTACTTTTAATTCCTTGTTATTTATAGTTTATTTTCTTGGAAGTGTAGCTATCGCCTACCTTCTTTTTATTGTGTTTAATAAAGCTTTTATTGTATTTATATTGTATATTTAAA